CTGGTTTTCCAGGTGGGCTGCAGGAAGCAGATCCTGGAAAGCTAGCAGTGCAGAATGGTGAGGTCCAAACAGCAAACAGTCTCTGGTGCCAGTTCAGAGGCCTCCCAGCATGGCAGTGGGAGGCTTCTGGGTGGTGGTGGCTGAACCCTTTTTTTTTACTGTACAGTATTTACTCCATAAGATGCACATACTTTCTCCCCCTCTATTTGGGGGGGAAGTGAGTCTTATGGAGCGAAAAATACAGTAATATTGGTTGTTATACATTTTGGCATAAATTAATTTTCATACTTTTGTTTTTGGCTAGATGCCAACGAAACAGAGATCTGAACCTTTATGGCAAATCCAATACTTCATATAGGCTGCATAGTTCTATTTTTTCTTAGCACAGAATTGGGATACCTGCACACAGTATAATAGCCCAGTCTCCAAACAGCTCCTAGAGAATTCCTTAAGAATTAAATGCAAAAATAATAAGATGTTGGTACTAAAGGGTTTAATTTTTAGTTTATTTTAAGGAATCAACGGCGGCAATATTGTTTGGATAAAGGTAAATTCCCCTAAGTTGAGACACGGAGTCAGGTGACTTAACAGGCAACAGAAAATGTCTACAAAAATTCTTAATTTATGGTAATTCACTTCCATAAGAACCATTACATAGCATATACATTATAAAAGCAAATTATAAAACCCCTCTTATGAACGCATAGTTTTGCACACAGGCACAATTATTGTGGATGAAGACATTGTTAAATGATTATACATTAAAGCCTTTAAAAGTCCTTTTAAAACTATGAAGCTTAAGGTTGATTTTGATTTGTTTTTAAATGAGAAAAAAGCATTGGGTATTAAGATACATAAACTATTCAATGCAATGCCACTGATTATCCTTTTTTATTTTTTACACCAGTTTTTACTGATTTTTCTGGAGGTCATTCATATGTAAAACCCAACCACAGTTAGGTGCTATACAAAGGAGACCTATGTTTAATGGTTCTCTCCTTTTTTTTTTCATTTTCCTCATTTTAAATTGGATAGGCTAAGAGAAACCAGTTTCCATCCTCATTTAGGTGACAGTCAGGCCTGCAGTGGATGCTTTAAGCACATTCAGCTGCTTGGGAGCCCTGCCCAAGGGATATCCAGGAGAGGTGGGGACTTCGGGGGCAAATTTATGTGCCTGCTCCCCATCCCTATTACTGAGCTTCAATATGGATTCACGCTTAACTCCTGAATACGGATAGAGACTAATCATATAGCAAAAGAAAGAGCATGTATTTACTACCGGTTTTGTTTATTTTGGCAGGTAGCTGTTTTGCCTGGACACATCATTTGGGTGATTATTTTGCTGAGCATCACCATTTACCTTCTATGAATGCTTTTTTGTGTTTTTTGGGGGTGAATATATACAGTGTATGATTAGGCACTTGAAGTGTGTATCCTTTCTGTCTTGTCCTACATTTCATGACCAATGTCAAGTAAACCTCATCAGGTTGCCTTCTATGCAATGAGTATTGGAGCAAAACACAAGAAATGAAAGAACTATGGATTCATAAGAGGGGTTTTATTATTTGATATGGATAGAAATAAGAAATTTGTGTCCTATCTCTTTTACTTTTACCAGTTTGCCATCTAGGAAATAGCCACAGCAGACATATAGTGAACAGGGAAGTGCTCATTCATAGTAGCCATTTTGTCAGAGGACCTACAGTATATCAAAGTTCCAGATATGTTGACCATTAGAGCTTCGTGGCACAGTGGTTAAACTTCTGTACTGCAGCCAAAACTGTGCTTACAACCTGGGGTTCAATCCCAGGTAGCCAGCTCAAGGTTGACTATCCTTTCGAGGTTGGTAAAATGAGTATTCAGCTTGCTGGGGGGGGGCACAAAGTGTAGTCCGCATAATTAGCTTGTAAACTGTCTAGAGGGTGCCTGAAGTGCTATGGGGCGGCATATAAGCAGCATGCTTTGCTTTTGACCAACTCAGAAAGGTTGAAGTGTAGTAGGTACTATGTTCTCCCACTGGCTGCCTCTTCTTCCTGTATATTTATCAAAACTCTTTAGATAAAGTTCTTTAATGCAGAGGCCATGTATCCTGTATTACAACCTTCCCCTATATTTGGGCTTGCATATGATCCCTCTGAAGCCTTACCAAGGAGAAAATCTTCTATACACATACAGCTGTAAGAAGAGCAAGCAGCGCAGGAAGAGAAAAATAGTAACAATGTTGATACCTCTTAGATCTGAAGTGCATGTTACGGGGCTTATATCTAGATGTGTACTGTACTTCTGGCTTTTTTGTTTGTGTGCTGAAGAAATATCAGGAGCAATTAGAAAGGTTGGTTATGTGTCTGTGAATCTATATGGTTCATTTCAGGAAACAAACCTGGTATAACCCTTCCAGTTATGTAACAAAATGATGAAGAGTTTCCAGTACATTTTCTGACAAACACTTTAATGAAGTAAATACAAACTAGGTTCAGAATACAGAATTCAACATATAATGTGAAATTAGTGACTATTCAAGTCATATCAGTTGGTTTTAGGGACTTTCACATCCCCAGTTACTTTAATCTAGAGCAGAGGTTGTCAACCCCCGGTCCGTGGCCCAGTGCTGGTCCATGGCCTGAGCTGGACCGGGCCGTGAAGGCAGACCTCCCCCCCACATGCACTCCCCCCCCCCACAGCTGTTTGCGCACAGCCAACGCTTTGAGCCAGCGCAGGCGTGAGCAGGGTTCTCCTCCTCCTGCATGTCCAGTAAAGTCTGATAGCCAGCATATCACCCTGAAGACATCTAATCTGATTTTTGGAAGATTTTTGGAAGATGAGCCTGGTTAGTACTTGGGCAGGTGACCCAAGGAATATCAGGGATCTCCAGGTAGCAGCAGAAAAG